AGCTAACTGCAAACTCTGCCTCCTGGGTTCAAGTAATTCTTGTGCCTCAGCTTCCCAAGTAGTTGGGATTACAGGCACTTGCCACCACGCCTGGCTAATTTTTGTTTGTATTTTTAGTAGAGGCGGAGTTTCACCATGTTGGCCAGGCTGGTCTTGAACTCCTGTGCTCAACTGATCCGCCTACCTCGGCCTCCCAAACTGCTGGGATTACAGGCATGAGTCACCACTCCTGGCCCCATACATATAGATTTAGAAACTCAATATTGTTTTGGTTTGGGGTTTTTTTGTTTGTTTCTTGAGATAGGGTCTTGCTCTGTTGTCCAGGCTGGAATGCAGTGGTGGCACAACCACAGCTCACTGCACTCTCCATCTCCTGGGCTCCCACCTCAGCCTCCCAAGTAATTGGGACTACAGGTATGTGCCACCATGCCCGGCTAATTTTTCTATTTTGGGTAGAGAGAAAATTTCACCATGATACCCAAGGTGGTCTCAAACGCCTGGGCTCAAGCAGTCTGCCTGCCTCAGCCTCCCAAAGTGTTGAGATTACAGGCCTGAGCCTGTTAAGATACTTGTTTTCCTTAAATTGTTCTACAGATACAGTGCAGTTCCAATAAAAAATCCCAAAAGGTTTTTTTGTTGAAATTGAAAGGCTGGTTCTAAATTCATGTGCAAATTCAGAGGTTCTAGAATAACAAAATCAATTTTGATAGACTGTGAAGTCTGGGGACTTATACTACCTGATTTGAAGGGTTATTATTACAGGAACGGTCATCAGGACAATGTGCTGGTGGTATAAGCATAAACGTATCAGTCAGTGGACTAAAATAAAGTGCCTAGAAAGGAGCCCACACATAGACAAGCTATAAAAGAAAAAAATGATAAATTGTACCTCATTAAAATTAAAAACTTTTATGCTTCTGCCAGGCACGGTGGCTCACGCCTATAATCCCAGCACTTTGTTTTTTTTGAGACGAGTCTCGCTGTGCTCCAGGGTGGAGTGCAGTGGCCTGATCTCGGCTCACTGCAAGCTCCGCCTCCCGGGTTCACGCCATTCTCCCGCCTCAGCTCCCAAGTAGCTGGGACTACAGGCGCCCGCCACCACGCCCGGCTAGTTTTTTGTATTTTTAGTAGAGAGCGGGGTTTCACCAGTGATTTAGCCAGGATGGTCTCGATCTCCTGACCTCGTGATCCACCCGCCTCGGCCTCCCAAAGTGCTGGGATTACAGGCTTGAGCCACCGTGCCCGGCCAATCCCAGCACTTTGGGAGGCTGAGGCAGGCAGATCACCAGGTCAGAAGTTTGAGACCATCCTGACTAACACAGTGAAACCCTGTCTCTACTAAAAATACAAAAAATTAGCCAGGCGTGGTGGCACGTGCCTCCCAGCTACTCCAGAGGCTGAGGCAGGAGAATCACTTGAATCTGGGAGGCGGAGGTTGCAGTGAGCCGAGATCGTACCACTGCACTCCAGCCTGGGCGACAGAGCAAGACTCCGTCTAAATAAATAAATAAATAAATACATAAATAAGTATGCTTCTGAAGATACTATTAACTTAAAAAAATAAAAAAGGTCACATTGCCTGATTGTCTGAGGAAAAAAATAAAATAAAAATAATAAATTGGAAAAGGCCAGGCACCATGACCTACACCCGTAGTCTCAACTATTTGGGAGGCTGAGGCAGGAGGATCACTTAAGCCCAGAAGATCAAATCTAGCCTGACTGGTGTTTCTGGTGAGACTCCAACTCTAATTTAAAAGATAGAAAAGAAAGAAAATGAAAAGATAGGACACAGACTGGGAGAAAGTATTTGCAGGTCATATATCTAATAACAGTGCTTCTCTCAAGAATATATAGAGAGCTCTTAGAATTAATAATGAGAAGACAATTAAACGAAAAAAAATGGGCTGAAGTCTTAGATAGACATTTCACCAAAGACATATGAATGGCAAGTAAGCATAAGAAAAAGTATTTACACCGGGTGCAGTGGCTCACCATTCGTGCAGTCCTAGCACTTTGGGAGGCCAAGGCGGGTGGATCATTTGAGGTCAGGAGTTTGCGACTTGCCTGACCAACGTAGTGAAACCCTGTCTCTACTAAAACTACAAAAAAAATTAGCTGGGTGTGGTGGTACGCGCCTGTAGTCCCAGCTACTCAGAAGACTGAGGCAGAAGAATCGCTTGAACGTGGGAGGCAGAGGTTGCAGTGAGCTGAGATCACGCCACTGCACTCCAGCCCAGGTGACTGAGTGAGAGTCCATCTCAAAAAAAAAAAAGCAAAGAAAAAGAAAAGGTTTTCATTACAGAATTGTAAAGTAAAACCACAATGCAATTCCACTCCATACACACTAAGATAACTGTATTCAAAAAGAGAGACAATGCCAAGTATTGGCAAGGATTTGGAAAAACGGGGACCCTCATGAATTTCTGGTGGGAATGTAAAATGGTATGGCCAATTTTGAAACAGTTTGGCAGTTTTCTTCAAAGTCAAACATAACTTTGCCATAGGATCTAGCAATTACATTCCTAAGACTGTTCAAAAGAAATGAAAACAAGCCGGGTGTGGTGGCTCATGCTTGTAATCCCAGCACTCTGGAAGGCCAAGGCAAGAGGATCACTTGAGGCCAAAAGTTTGAGACCAGCCTGGGCAACATAGTTAGACCCTGTCTCTACAAAAAAAATTTTTAATTAGGTGTGATGGCACGTATCTGTAGTCCTTGCTATTCAGAAGGCTGAGGTAGGAGATCGCTTGAGCCCAGGAGTTGGAGGTTACATTGAGTTATGGTAGTGCCACTGCACTCCTACCAGGGTGACAGAGTGAGACCCTGTCTGTAACAAAAAAAGAAAAAAGAAATGAAAACATTGGCCCACACAAAGACCTAGAAGACATATCAGCCAAAGAGAATGTGTGACTCTTGTTTAGATCCTAATTTGAACGAATCAACTTGTCAAAAACATTTATGATATAATTGGAGAAAAGTTAACACATTTCAGCATCAGATGATATTAAGAAATTAAAGTATTTACCTATCAGAAATAGATACCAAGGCCAGGCGCGGTGGCTCATGCCTGTAATTCCAGCACTTTGAGAGGCCGAGGCGGATGGATCACAAGGTCAGGAGTTCAAGACCAGCCTGGCCAACATGGCGAAAACCCGTCTCTACTAAAAATACAAAAATTAGCTGGGCATGGTGACGGGTACCTGTAATCCTAGCTACTTGGGATGCTGAGGCAGGAGAATTGCTGGAACCCAGGAGGAGGAGGTTGCAATGAGCCAAGATCGTGCCATTGCACTCCAGCCTGAGCGATAAGAACAAGACTCTGTCTCAAAAAATATATATAGATAGATACTGAAATATTTACAGGTAAAATGATATGTTTGGAATTGGCTTTAAAATCCTGGAATAAAAAAGGGGGGAAGAAGAGATGGCATTAATTTTTTTTTTTTTTTTTTTTTTTTTGAGACGGAGTTTTGCTCTTGTTGCCTAGGCTGGAGTGCAATAGTGCAATCTTGACTCGCTGCAACCTCCGCCTCCTGGGCTCAAGCCATTCTCTTGCCTCAGCCTTCCCAGTAGCTGGGATTACAGGCATGTGCCACCACGCTCAGCTAATTTTGTATTTTTAGTAGAGACGGGGTTTCACAATGTTGGTCAGGCTGGTCTAGAACTCCTGACCTCAGGCAATCCACCCACCTCAGCCTCCCAAGAAATAAAAATATTTAATAGTAGAATACTGATAAATGTTGGGCCAGGCACAGTGTCTCACACTTGTAATCCCAGCAGTTTGGGAGGCTGAGGCAGGTGGATCACTTGAGGCCCAGAGTTGGAGACCAGCCTGGCTAATATGGCAAACCCCATCTCTACTAAAAATATGAAAAATTAGCTGGGTGTGGTGGTGTGTGTCTGTGGTCCCAGCTACTTGGGAGGCTGAGGCATGAGAATCGCTTGAACCCGGAGGTGGAGGTTGCAGTGGGCCTAGATTGCGCCACTGCTCTCCAGCCTGGGCAACAGAGCAAGATTGTCTCAAAAAGAAAAATAGTATTTATAAATGTTGAAGTTTACTGATGGTACATGTGGGTTCTCTGTATTATTTACTCTTGTTTGTATTTGAAGTTTTTCATGATCTGTTAAAATTTAAAATGAGAACTTGACCGCCAGAGAAAAGTTTTTAATACATAAATTTAGGCCGGGCGCGGTGGCTCAAGCCTGTAATCCCAGCACTTTGGGAGGCCGAGACGGGTGGATCACGAGGTCGGGAGATCGAGACCATCCTGGCTAACACGGTGAAACCCCGTCTCTACTAAAAAAATACAAAAAACTAGCCGGGCGAGGTGGCAGGCGCCTGTAGTCCCAGCTACTCGGGAGGCTGAGGCAGGAGAATGGCGTGAACCCGGGAGGCGGAGCTTGCAGTGAGCTGAGATCTGGCCACTGCACTCCAGCCTGGGCGACAGAGCCAGACTCCGTCTCAAAAAAAAAAAAAAAAAAAAATACATAAATTTACCTTTTTCAGCCCAGTATCAGTCCATCATCCATCTTTTGTATACCTTGCAAAAATCCATTTCCTACATTACTGTTATGCAAAAGGCTATCTTGAGTAGGGATTTAAGTGAAAAAACATGCAGAGCTTTTCTTCTTCATGTTTGACTATGTGCTAGTAGATAGCCATTAGCTTCTGGTGTTTCTAGATTTGCAAAATGCATATAGATCTCTTAGAAATCACATAAGTATCATGTTGTCAATTGCTGTTAACATTTTAAAATATGGATCAAACACCATCTTCCCCTCATGCAAATTCTCATATACAGCACAACCTTTTTTCTTTGTGAGTGGTATCTGTCTCTTCCTCAATGTGAAGGGTCTTAGGATATGTAACTGCTTTTTTAAGGGTATGAAAATTTTACAGTTCTTATATATACACATATGTTTAATGAGAACAGTGTCTGATATACCAAGGATGTGTACTTGTCTTGTTTATTCATTATTTTCTCCTTTTTCCATTTTTCAGTACATGTACTAGCCTTAGCAAGTTCTGTTCCAAACTCAGGCACCTTGACTTGGCTTCCTGTACATCAATAACAAACATGTCTCTAAAAGCTCTGAGGTAAATTTCTTATAATAAGCATGTCCAGTAATCAGAAAAAAATACATACTTTAAAAAAATAACTGATATAAAGTTGGAATTGAAGGCAACTCTGTTTTATGGATATATTCTGTAGTTCAGAATAGATATTTTGTTTTACCACTTGCCCTGATTACAGTTATGGGACATACTAAAGTGAAATGACTAGAGGTAACTAGGATTTCTGAACAGGGTAGTACAGTTTATACATAAACAATTAGATTTTTATGAAGTCTTATTTTCAAAAAGAAAATAAGGCCGGGCACAGAGGCTCATGCCTATAATCCCAGCACTTTGGGAGGCCAAGGCGGGCAGATCACGAGGTCAAGAGATTGAAACCATCCTGGCCAACATGGTGAAACCCCGTCTCTACTAAAAATATAAACATTAGCTGGGTGTGGTGGCATGCACCTGTAGTCCCAGCTACTAGGGAGGCAGAGGTTGCAGTAAGCTTAGATCGTGCCATTGCACTCCAGTCTGGTGACAGAGTGAGACTCCATCTCAAAAAAAACAAAAAAAGAAGGGGCACGTGTTATTATAGCTTAGTGCTTAAAACAGGTATCTGGAGCCAGATTATTAACCAGGTACTTTAAGCAAACATAACCTTTCTGAGCTTTTTCTTCTCACCTCATAACATTTTAAGGTTTAACGAGGTATTAGGCGATACCATATAAAGTTTTGCTAGTATTTGATAGTTTTCATGTTATAAAAATGATAGCTACATGTGGCTCAACCTGATGTATATAAAGTGCTTTAAAAAGGGTCCCTGAGGCCCTGGGTGTGGTGGCTCACACCTGTAATCCCAGCTCTTTGGGAGCCCAGGGTAGGAGGATCACTTGAGCTCAGGAGTTCTAGACCAGCCTGCGCAACATAGGGAAACCCTGTCTCTCCAAAAAAAATAAGAAAATTCGCCAAGCGTGGTGGCATAGCCCTGTAGTCCCAGCTGCTCAGGGGACTGTGACGGGAGGATCGTTTGAGCCCGGCAGGTTGAGACTGCAGTGAGCTATAATTGTGCCACTGCACTCTAGGTTGGGCAACAGAACGAGACCTCATCTCAAGAAAAAAGAAATACAAATTTAGTTAAGTAGAGTATAAATAATCTAAAATGTGGCTCCTTTTAGACCTTCTTTGTGAATATTGAACACATGTACCTAAGACGGTTTGCTGTGTAGGCTAATAAACTTGATAATATAACAACTTTTATCATTTATAAAATATTTTCACATAAATGATCTTATTTATTTAAAAGCTTTGTGAAGTAGAGTGGATGGGCATTTTACAGCTAAGAAAATCTAGAAAGTTGTTGACTGCCAGGTACTGTAATGCAACCATCACATGTAACTGAGTAAGATATTGCTGCCCTTAAGTTGCTCACAGTCAACTGTTACTGTGGAATAAATGCTATGATAGGAATGAGTACGTCAGTTTTGGGAAAACATAGAGGTATGGAGCTAATCTTAGACTAAGAGAGGTTCAGACAGGCTTCCTAAAGTCACCTTCCTGAAGTTAAACTATTAATATTGGAGAATGAACTTGAACTGGGATATCATGGCTTTATCTTCTGGGTCTTTTCGGCAGGCAGGAATATTTCGAACAATTTATGGAGTGTTTTCTGAAGAATATTATAGAAAACTTGGAATTCATCCATAATCCAAATACGAAGCTAAACTGTTAAGAGTAGATGGAATCAACGATGAAACTAGTAGTTTGAAGGCAGAGATTGGACATAAGATATCCTAAATTCAGCCTACAAAAGCAGTACTCTAGAAACATCTTTTTTTTTTTTTTTTTTTTTTTGAGATGGTGTCTCGCTCTGTTGCCCAGGCTGGAGTACAGTGGTATGATCTTGGCTCACCCCAGCCTCTGCTTCCTGGGTAGCTAGGATTATAGGCGCCCACCACCATGCCCGGCTAATTTTTTTTTTTCGTATTTTTAGTAGAGACGGGGTTTCACCATGTTAGCCAGGATGGTCTCGATCTCCTGACCTCGTGATTCGCCCACCTTGGCCTCCCAAAGTGCTGGGATTACAAGCGTGAGCCACTGCGCCCGGCCTAGAAACATCTCAAGGAAATACACAGGGCCTTTGTAATTTTTTAAAATAAAAGTTTGAAAGCCTTCATTACTACTTTGGTACTGTGAGTTGAATATCCCTATTTCAAAAATCCAAAATGCAGCTGGGTGCTACTTGAGGGACTGAGGTGGGAGGATCACTTGAGCCATGGAGGTCACAGATGTAGTGACCCCTGATGGCGCCACTGCACTCCAGCCTGGGTGACAGAGCGAGACTCTGTCTTAAAAAAAAAAAAAAAAAAGAAAGAAAATCTGAAGTGCCTCAAAATCCCAAACTTTTTGAGTATCGATGTGACCCTCAAAAGAAATGGTCATTGGGGCACTTCAGGTTTTCAGATATGGGATATTCAACTATGTAAGTATAATGCAAATACTGCAAAATTAGACATCTGAAACACTTCTGGTACCAAGCATTTAAGATAAGGGATACTCAACCGGTAATAGCATTGCTCGATGGAGAATCTGGTTTTGAATCTGAGCTCTTTATTAATTACTCTGTAAGCTAGAATAAATCACTTAATTTCCATTTTCTGTCTAGAGAGCTTTGAGATATGTGATAAGTACAAAAGGAATATAAATCTGAAAAACATTATAATGCTTTGTGTTTGTTGGTTAAGCTGGATTTTAGATGATCCTGCTAATGATATAGTCCCATGTGAATACCACATTGATAAATCAGCTTTTTTTCTAAATATACCTTAGGTAAATATATTTTTTCTTGTGGGAAAAAAATGGGAATGTTTCCATTCCTTTACTAAACAGCCAGTAAATTGAGACGTTGGTGTTTTTGGAATTGGATTTAGTGATATGTTTCTCTTATTTTGTTTTATCCTTAGTGAGGGATGTCCACTGTTGGAGCAGTTGAACATTTCCTGGTGTGACCAAGTAACCAAGGATGGGATTCAAGCACTAGTGAGGGGCTGTGGGGGTCTCAAGGCCTTATTCTTAAAAGGCTGCACACAGGTAATACTCCATGTAGGGCTCGTGAAATTCAGAAGAATCATGAACGAATCATGAGTTCTCTATAGACAGCCCCAAAATGTTTGTCTGGAGGGAAAGGTTAGTTGTGTGTATTATTGACCAAAGACAAATGCTTACCAAAGATTAAAGTGTTTTCCTTAGGACAAAAGAATGAGAAGAATTAACATCCAACCAAAAATAGACTTGAGGAGGAGGGAGATAAGGTGGAAAGATAAGATTATATTAAAGATACACCATGGTCAAGAAGAGTTTCGTGCAGTTTAATTTGTGCTGAGAAGAAAACTTGGCATGTTGTCACTGCCTGATACTTTGAACTAGATAGGCAAAGAAGGCAATTTCCACTTGTTTTTTAACCACCAGTGTTTCTTAAATATGCCAAGTGTACAGCAGCCTGCATTTTATAATATTGATGCTTATTTCCTGCCAGTCACATTACAAATCCAACATATTTTGTCATTAAAAATTTTACTATCTCAGTGTTTTATAGTGAAAAAAAGAATTGATTAGTTAGCCTCCGGAAAGAAATGAGTGGATTTAAATTGTGACTGACAAACTAAGGCTAGGCTCTACTTTATTTTCCTAATTAGGATTCCATTAAAAATGCCCTGATTCTTTTATCATGATGAGAGGGGTTCCATTGTTTGAAAGAGAATTTCAGATGTATGACTGCCTTAAAACAACAACTTGAGCTTCTGGTTATTTATGGAATCCTGAAAAATACTGATTGGAATATATCATTATAATCAGTTACTTACCATCTGTTCTCAGCACTGTAAGCATGACACCTATCTTCCAGTGGGAGATGGACACTGGATTCCTTTCTTGGCTGTTTTTCCTCATAGTTTGTTTATGAAAAACTTTATAAGGGGTGTGTAGAAGTTTGAAAATTATTTTCGTTTCATGGGCGCTCAGCAAAATGCTGCCAGGTATATTTAATTTATCAGAAGTAAAACCCATAAAAACTAGGCAGTGTTAACTTCATCTTTGTTCTTGATGTAATGATAATGTGAATTTGAATGTGGTCAAAGCTGATTTTAAATCCTGAGAATCATAATAATATGAATTATACTGTTACGTGATCATAGCTTATTTTCTGGTTCATTGTTCCTTCAAAACTTGGTTGGCTGTGTTAGAATGTATGAATGAATGTGTACATTCTGAAATCTTTCTCCTTTGAAACAATGTCAGTAATCATTTTTTTCTTACTTTTTAATCTAGCTAGAAGATGAAGCTCTCAAGTACATAGGTGCACATTGCCCTGAACTGGTGACTTTGAACTTGCAGACTTGCTTGGTAAACATCCCTTCTCACAATTCTTCTGTTTTAGTAATTCATTTCATTAAAACTATTTTAAGAGCTTCAGTCATCAAGACCAGTATTGTTTTTCTACCACAACCCTAGTGACAAAGTAAACACACAGATGACTCTTGACATGCTTAACAATACTCATTCCTAGAGGCCTTGACATAGATAAGATAGGAGGTAGCTAGCTTATACAGAATTCCAGATGAGCTAGCTGTAGCTCCACCCCTTTCTTACATACTTAAAAAAAACTGTCTACTTTTAAAATGTAAATGATTCACAAATTTAGTATTTAAAATTGCAGTCAAGCTGGGCACGGTGGCTCATACCTGTAATCCTAGCACTTTGGGAGGGTGAAGAAGGCAGATTGCTTGAGTCCGGGAGTTTGAGACCAGCCTAGGCAACATGGCAAAACCCCGTCTCTACAAAAGGTATAAAAATTAGCTGGGTTTGGTGGTGTGTGCCTGTAGTCCCAGCTCCTTGGGAGGCTGAGGTGGGAAGATAATTGAGCTTGGGAGGTTGAGGTGCAATGAGCTGAAATCATGCCACAGCACTCCAGCTCGGGCAACAGAGTGAGACCTTGTCTCAAAAAAATAAATAAGGCCGGGCGCGGTGGCTCAAGCCTGTAATCCCAGCACTTTGGGAGGCCGAGACGGGTGGATCACAAGGTCAGGAGATCGAGACCATCCTGGCTAACATGGTGAAACCCCGTCTCTACTAAAAAATACAAAAAGTTAGCCGGGCGTGGTGGCGGGCGCCTGTAGTCCCAGCTAATCGGGAGGCTGAGGTAGGAGAATGGCATGAACCCGGGAGGCGGAACTTGCAGTGAGCCAAGATCACGCCACTGCACTCCAGCCTGGGCAACAGAGCGAGACTCCATCTCAAACAAAAACAAAAAACAAGTGTGAGTGTGTGTGTATGTATAAGTACACACATATATGTACACATACATTTATGCACTATATACATATACATTACATACACACACATACAGACATAAATATGTACATAACATTTGCAGGTTTAATTTGGTGTTTCTTCATCCTTCCAGCAGGCAGGAATCACAGTGAACTTAAAGAACCAATTCCGGCCGGGCGCGGTGGCTCAAGCCTGTAATCCCAGCACTTCGGGAGGCCGAGATGGGCGGATCATGAGGTCAGGAGATCGAGACCATCCTAGTTAACACGGTGAAACCCCGTCTCTACTAAAAATACAAAAAAATTTGCTGGGCGTGGTGGCAGGCACCTGTAGTCCCAGCTACTCGGGAGGCTGAGGCAGGAGAATCGCTTGAACCCAGGAGGTGGAGGTTGCAGTGAGCCGAGATCGCACCATTGTACTCCAGCCTGAGTGACAGAGTCAGACTCCATCTCAAAAAAACAAAAGGACTGAAATGTTTAGTCTTGAGAGATCAGCCACAATTATTGTAAACATGAAATCATCTTACAATGCCAAAGAAAAACTATTCCTGGAGAGCTTCGTGTGTGTGTGTGTACGCACACATGGGTGCATGCGTGCGTCTGTAATCCTAGCACTTTGGGAGGCTGAGGTGGGTGAATCACCTGAGGTCAGCAGTTCGAGACTGACCTGGCCAACTTGGTACAACCCCATCTCTACTAAAGATACAAAAATCATCCAAGTATGGTGGTGTGCGCCTGTAATCCCAGCTATTCAGGAGTCTGAGGCAGGAGACTCACTTGAACCTGGGAGGTGGAGGTTGCAGTGAGCCAAGATCACGCCACTGCATTCCAGCCTGGGCAGCAGAGCGAGACTCTGTCTCAAAAAATAAAAGAAGAAATATTTGTACTGGTTTAAAGATAGTCCCTCTAAATCATCAAGACGGAGTTTTGCTCTTGTTGCCCAAGCTGGAGTACAATGACATGATCTTGGCTCACTGCAACCTCTGTCTCCTGGGTTCAAGTGATTCTCCTGCCTCAGCCTCCCTAGTAGCTGGGATTACAGGCACATGCCACCATGTCTGGCTAATTTTTTGTATCTTTAGTAGAAACGGGGTTTCACCATGTTAGGCTGGTCTCAAACTCCTGACCTCAAGTGATTTGCCCACCTCAGCCTCCCAAAGTGCTGAGATTACAGATGCGAGCCACCGTGCCTGGCCTACAATTTTTTAAAGTATTGACAGTATGACTTAACTCATCTTTCTTCCTCAGTACTGTCTTATACAAAGGAAAGGGCAGCACAGCCCTACAGTACTTTTCTAATATTGTGTGGCACAAATATCTTTGGCCTGCTAAATTCGCATGTTTATTGTTTCTTACTTCCCTCTTTATATCTCGGCTATCGTAGTCTAAAGACAGTACATCATGTTTGTATATCACTTTTTTAGCTGCCTCCACGTGTGTTAATATCTCATTACTTGATCCTCATTAGTATCTGCCTTAGCATCCAATTTTTTAATCTATATTTGTGTCGGTTGCATGATATTGAAAACATGATTTAAGCAGTGGATATTAGAAGTTGTGGGATTTTGTTTTTTCAGTTGTCCTTGTAATTTATGGACATGACTATTAAACAGAGATGAGAAGAGAGCTATTATTTTTAGGTCTACACAAAATTAGTGAATCTGGAGGACAAATTGAAGTGCTGATAGTATCCACCGTATTAAGATGTTTATATGTAACTTTTCTTTTTTTTTTTTTTTCTTTCTTCCTTCCCTTTTTTTTTTTTAAAGGGAGTTGCGGGTGGTCTCATTATGTTGCCCAGACTGGCCTTGAACTCCTGGGCTAAAGTGGTCATCTCACTTCAACCTCCTGAGTAGCTGGGACTGTAGGCATGTGTGCTTGTATTATTTTTAAAAATATAACATCTTTGATGTGAGGTAGCTTATTGTGCAACAAATTACTCAGTTGGTTAGAAAACAACCAGATATTATTTATGAAATATTTGTACCAGGGTGGCTCATGCCTGTAATCCCAGCACTTTGGGAGGCTGAGGTGGTCAGATCACAAGGTCAGGAGTTCGAGACCAGCCTGGCTAACATGGTGAAACCCTGTCTCTACTAAAAATACAAAAATTAGCCGGGCGTGGTAGCACTTGCCTATGCCCAGCTACTCAGGAGGCTGAGGCAGGAGAATCGCTTGAACCCTGGAGATGGAGGTTGCAGTTATCCAAAACTGCGCCACTGTACTCCAGCCTGGTGACAGAGCGAGACTCCCTCTCAAAAAATAAAAGAAGAAATATTTGTACTGGTTTAAAGATAGTCCCTCTAAATCATCATGGAAGAAATAAAATAATTTACAAAAATTTTTAAAGTATATATGTAACATCTTTGAATGCATATTCATTTTCATTTTAAATTAAAGTAAGATAACTTAGAATAATTTTTATTTTAATTTTTAATTGTTATATATATTTATAATTTTTTTTTAATAGAGGTGGGGCTTCGCCATGTTGCCCAGGCTGTTCTGGAACTTCTGAGCTCAGGTGTAAGCTACCATCCATGCGTGACCAATAACTAACTTTCTTTTTTTTTCTTTCTATTTTCTTTTGTTTTGAAAAGGAGTCTTGCTCTGTCGCCCAGGCTAGAGTGCAATGGCGCAATCTTGGCTCACTGCAACCTTAATCTCCCAGGTTAAAGTGATTCTCCTGCCTCAGCCTCCCAGGTAGCTGGGATTACAGGCATCTGCCACTGCACCTGGCTAATTTTTGTGTTTTTAATAGAGACCGGGTTTCACCATCTTGGCCAGGCTGGTCTCCAACTCCTGACCTCGTGATCCACCCACCTCGGCCTCCCAAAGTGCTGGGATTACAGGCTTGAGCCACCATGCCTGGCCCCAATAACTAACTTCCCTCCCTCCCTCCTTCTTGCTTTCTTTCTTCTCTTCCTTCCCTTCCCTTCCTTTCCTTTCTTCTTTCCTTTCTTTCTTCCTTTCTTTCCTTCCTTTCTTCCTTTCCCTTCCTTTCCCTTCCCTTCCTTTCCCTTCTTTCTCTTCCCCTTCCCCTTCCCTTTCCCTTTCCCTTCCTCTTCCCTCTCCCTTCCCCCTTCCCCTTCCCCTTTTCTTCCCCTTCCCCTTCCCTTTCCGTTGCCTCCCAATGTGCTTGGATTACATTTGTGAGCCACTGCGCCCGGCCTAATAACTTGTAAAAAGTACAAAATTGTGTCTGAGTTAGATACAACTCTTTTATTTCCATAAATTAGGATGTTCTTTATATTATAAAACTAAAATACAGAAGTAAATGGATGCTGTGACTGATACAAGATTGCAACTGTCATCCAGTTTAATTTTTTTCACTAACTTATCGGTGTCAATTTGAACTTTTAGATATATTTATACTACTAAAATACTTACATCCTTATCTTTTTTCTAGGTTTTAAAATTGTTTAATTGAGGCCAGGCACAGTGGCTCAAGCCTGTAATTCAAGTACTTTGGGAGGCTGAGGTGGGCGGATCACTTGAGGCCAGGAGTTCCAGACCAGCCTGGCCAACATGGCAAAACCCCGTCTCTACTAAAAATACAAAAAAAATTGCTGGACATGGTGGCGTGCACTTGTAGTTCCAGCTCCTCGGGAGGCTGAGGTATGAGAATCGCTTGAACCTAGGAGGTGGAGGTTGCAGTGAGCCAAGATTGTGCCACTCACTCCAGCCTGGGTGATAGAGTGAGACTCTATCTCCAAATAATAAATAAATAAATAAATAAAATTACTTAATTGAACCTAAACTATGATGTACCCCATGCTGATCCCAGTTCCATTAGAATTCCATTTTAGCTTTTAACAGAATTATATTATAGCTTCTTCCCTTTGCACCAAAGGTGAGCATAGATCCTCTTGCAGACTAAATCAGGAACTGGAAGGAAGAAACAACGTGTGTTCATTTTCTTTTAGGTCTGCTATCTGATGAATGTGTTGAGCATGTCTTGATTTCCTTTTTGGTGATTATTTTCACAGAGCTGTCATTTTTCTTCTTTTGTTTTGCTAAGATACTAATATCTATGAATTTTTTTGCTCTTGTTTTTTAGCAAATCACAGATGAAGGTCTCATTACTATATGCAGAGGGTGCCATAAGTTACAATCCCTTTGTGCCTCTGGCTGCTCCAACATCACAGATGCCATCCTGAATGCTCTAGGTCAGAACTGCCCACGGCTTAGGTAAACATTTCTTGTTTAGCTCAAAAAAATCTTAGAACAAAAATTTCCTTCACCCATATTTCTTCCTTGGAACTTTGGAATTTTAAGGTAGACACTGCAGACGCTTTGAAATGTTAAGGTAGTTAAGCACCTTTTAGATGCCCACCTACTTGCTTCTTGTACCTCATTTGATTTCATGTAATTGGCGTGAACCAAGGGGTGACAATCCCCAAATTCCACTACTTGCTATCCATACTAGAAAAAAAATCAACATTTTATTACTTGAGATAGGAAAGTATTCTTTCTTATTAATGCTTTTATATAATTCTTTTCTCAAAGTCGTTTTTAAAGGTCCACACTGAGGTCATTTATGTCATAGTAATGATACCAGGTACATAGCAGGGGGTACTATGTTTAAAAATAAAAAACACTGTTACAGGAGTACCTCTTTTGTACTGATGGGCTTTTAAAACAGCCTTATTTCTCTCTGGCTCCTCAGTTTGAAGAATGCTGTGTTTTTTACTTTTTGTAGAGACAGGATCAGGCTGTGTTGCTCAGGGTGACCTCAAACTCTTGACTTCCAGGGATTCTCCCGCCTCAGCTTCCCAAAGTGTTGAGATTACAGGCGAGAGCCACTGTGCCCAGCCTATTATTGTCTTTTGAGGCAGTATTGGGTAGGCCTGCCTCAATCTCTTGGGTTCAAGTGATCCTGTCACCTCAGCCTCAGGAGTAGCTGGGACTAAAGACATATGCTACCACACCTCACTACACTTTTTGTTCTCTAAAATAAACTTACGTAGTACTTGTAAATTAGGTGTTGCTTTAGGTGCTTTACAAATACTAATTCAGGGCCAGGTGCTGTGGCGCACACCTGTAATCCCAGCATTTAGGGAGGCCGAGGCTAAAAGATCGCTTGAGCCCAGGAGTTTGAAACCAGCATGGGCAACATGGCAGAACCCTGTCTCTACAAAAAATAAAAAATTAGCCAGGCATGGTGGTGTGTGCCTTGTAGTCCCAGCTACTCAGGAGGCTAAAGTGAGAGGATCACTTGAGCCCAGGAGGTCAAGGCTGCAGTGAGCTAAGATTATACCGCGGCCCTCTAGCCTGGGCAACAGAGTGAGACTCTTGCTCAATAACATTAATAATTTGTTTAATCTTCATAGCACCATATAAGCACTATTATCACCTTTTTTTTTTTTTTTTTGGAGACAGAGTCTTGCTCTGTCACCCTGGCTGGAGTGCAGTGGCGCAATCTGGGGTCACTGCACTCTCCATCACCTGGGTTCAAGCAATTAGCCTGCCTCAGCCTCCCTAGTAGCTGGGACTACAGGCAAGCGCCACCACACCCAGCTAGTTTTTGTATTTTTAGTAGACAACATGGCTTTCACTATGTTGGCCAGGATGGTCTCCTGACCTTATGATCTGACCCCCTCAGCCTCCCAAAGTGCTGGGATTACAGGCGTGAGCCACCACACCCAGCCTTGTTATCGCCATTTTATAGATGAGAAAACTGAAGCACAAAGAGACAAAGTAACCTGCTCGAGGTCTCAGCTAGTTAGTGTAGGAACAAGTATTCAACCCAGGAGCTCTGGCTCCTGAGCCTATGAAGCCACTTTTCTTACGTATAAAAATCATTGTAGGCCAGGCGCAGTGGCTCAAGCCTGTAATCTCAGCACTTTGGGAGGCCGAGACAGGCGGATCATGAGGTCAGGAGATCGAGACCATCCTGGCGAACATGGTGAAACCCCGTCTCTACTAAAAAAATACAAAAAACTAGCCGGGCGAGGTGGCGGGTGCCTGTAGTCCCAGCTACTCGGGAGGCTGAGGCAGGAGAATGGTGTAAACCCAGGAGGCAGAGCTTGCAGTGAGCTGAGATCCGGCCACTGCACTCCAGCCTGGGCAACAGAGCAAGACTCCGTCTCGGGAAAAAAAAAAAAAAAATTGTAAAGCTATAAAACTTTCAGAAATTTTTTTCTGATGATTACCTGGCCTAACCATAATTGTTGAAAGAACTTTTGTGGCCAGGCGCAGTGGCTCCCGCCTGTAATCCCAGCACTTTGGGAAGCTGAGGCGGGTGGATCACCAGGAGTTTGAGACCAGCCTGGTCAACATGGTGAAACCTCGTCTCTACTAAAAATACAAAAATTACAGGTGTGGTGGCCCACTCCTGTAATCTCAGCTACTCGGAAGGCTGAGACAGGAGAACTGCCTGAACCCGGGTGGCGGAGGTTGCAGTGAGCTGAGATTGCACCACTGCACTCCCAGCCTGGGTGGCAGAGTGAGAGAGACTCTGTCTTCAAAAAAAAAAAAAAAAAAACTTTTGCCTACAATATCAAAATTTCTTAAGAGAACATAGACCTGTTGGTCAAAATTAGTAATATCAAAAGCCTAGAGTATTCCTCAGGAGCTAGGGAGGTAATCAAACCTCTCTGAAAATCTTACACATTATCCTTTTCGACTTTAGAGAGAGGAGTCTTCAGCTCCAACTTCCTGTACAGTTCATTACATTGTTAGAATGGAAAAGCTCTCAACCGTGAAAATCAAAAGTTATGTTCCAGTCAGATCATGTTTTCCCATTAGGTAGCATTCATTTCTTTCTTTCTTTCTTTTTTTTGAGACAGAGTTTGGCTCTGTTGCCCAGGCTGGAGTGCAGTGGCATGATCTTGGCTCACTGTAACCTCCTCCTCCCAGGTTCAAGCAATTTTCATGCCTCAGCCTCCAGAGTAGCCAGGATTACAGGCATGCACTATCATGCCTGGCTAATTTTTTGGGTATTTTTGGTAGAGATTGGGTTTTGCTGTGTTGGCCAAGGTGGGCTTAAACTCCTGGCCTCAGATGATCTGTCCTCCCAAAGTTCTGGGATTACAGGCATGAGTCACCACACCTGGCCATCTCTTGGAATTAAAAAAAAAAAAAAAAATTGATTTTTTTTTTTTTTTTTGAGATGGAGTCTTGCTCTGTTGCCAGGCTGGAGTGCAGTGGCATGACCTCAGCTCACTGCAAACTCCGCCTTTTGGGTTCAAATGATTGTCCTGCCTCAACCTCTCAAATACCTGGGACTACAGGTGCCCACCACCATACCTGGCTAATTTTTTATATTTTTAGTAGAGACAAGGTTTCACCATGTTGGCGAGGCTGGTCTCGAACTCCTGACCTCAAGTGATCCACCTGCCTCGGCCTCCCAAAGTGCAGGGATTACAGGCGTGAGCCACCGTGCCCGGCCAGAAATTTTAAATTTTTTTTATACAGGTGAAGTCTTGGTATGTTGCCCAGGCTGGTCTCGAACTCCTGACCTCAAGTGATCCACCTGCCTCGGCCTCCCAAAGTGCAGGGATTACAGGCGTGAGCCACCGTGCCCGGCCAGAAATTTTAAATTTTTTTTATACAGGTGAAGTCTTGGTATGTTGCCCAGGCTGGTCTTGAACTCCTGAGCTCAAGTGATCCTCCTGCCTCAGCCTCCTGAAGTGCTGGGATTATAGGTGTGAGCCACAGCACCCTGCCATCCATTTCTCATTGATTTTCGGTTGATAATTATTTCCTATACTTTAATTTTTTTCAGCTTCAGTAGTAAGAGTTATATAAACAAACATGTTCATTGTTACCATTATACGAAGGTCACCCAACTTTTCACAGAAGAGAGCTACTTTTGATTCCCCAATCCTGTGGTTGGTATTTAGGTTGGAGTTTAACAGTTGCTTAATAAGAGGTGAATGGCTGCCAGCTCAGCTTCCCTGTCTACTGGGCCTCCCTGGGAGCCTGTAGGAGAAAGCAAGAAGCTTTCACAAGTCTAGAATTTCATATTTGGGACAGACCTGTAATTAAGCAGCCCCTTTGTCACTTTTTTTTTTTTTTTTTTTGAGTCGGAGTCTCGCTCTGTCACCCAGGCTGGAGTGCAGTGGCAGGATCTTGGCTCACTGCAACCTCCGCCTCCAGGATTCAAGCGATTCTCCTGCCTCAGCCTCCCGAGTAGCTGGGACTACAGGCGGGTGCCTCCACACCTATCTAATTTTTGTATTTTTAGTAGAGACAAAGTCTCTCTATGTTGCCCAGGCTGGTCTCCAACTCCTGCCTAAGGTGATCCGCCTGCCTCGGCCTCCCAAAGTGTTAGGATTATAGGCATGAGCCACCATGCCCAGCCTGTCACATTTTTTTAAAGCAATTTAAATCTAAGTGAATCTACTTCTAAAACAGGAAAGAAAATAATTCATTTCAGCAAGTGATTAACTGAAATAGAGTATCTCCATTTCCTTTGTTTTCTAGGAGCAGGCTGCCCTCTGGGGGTAAGCAGTATGCTATGAAGAAGGCTTTTAATGCATTTCATACATTTTGGTATTAACTACAAGCTTCAGTTATATTCTTCTGTGTTCATTGATTGCATCACCCTGAAATGTGATATTTACAGGACCACTTTATGATGACTGCATGAAAATGAATGGCAAGATCTGTATACAGACTTGCTTAGTTGTTAATGTCATTCTGTATTATAAAGTCCTTAGAGAATAGGAGATTGTTTTTGTAAATCTTACTGTTTTAATAAACTCAGTTTTCAGGGACTAAGAGCTTGACTTTCACTGTATGTGTGTGTGTGTGTGTGTTGCGTGTGTGTGTGTTTTTTTTTTTAACAGAATATTGGAAGTGGCAAGATGTTCTCAATTAACAGATGTGGGCTTTACCACTCTAGCCAGGGTGAGTATTTTCTTTTGGTTCCATAGGTTTGTTTCCATAGGTTTTGTTAGGACTTTTTATTTCAGAAGAACAAGCAGCAAGGGAAATGTGAAATGTTAGCAGAATTGGGTGTGTGAGACAGGGTTTCATGCTGTAGCTACAGACCTGCTGACACCAGAAAAAATACAAACTGCTCTAGAAATGCACACATGCATGGGAGAATATTAAACCCCTTCATGATACTTTTTAAAAAAATTTTTTTTAACTTTTTGAGATGGGGTCTCATTCTGTCACCCAGGCTGGGGTGCAGTGACACGATCTCGGCTCACTGCAACCTCCACCTCCCGGGTTCAAGCATTTCTCCTGTCTCAGCCTCCTGAGTAGCTGGGATTACAAGCATGCACCACCACATCCAGCTAATTTTTGTATTTTTAGTAGAGACAGGGTTTCACCATGTTGGCCAGGCTGGTCTTCAACTCCAGACCTCAAGTGATCCGCTCACCTTGGCCTCCCAAAGTGCTGGGATTACAGACGTGAGCCGCTGCACCCATCCATGAGACTTGATTCTCCACAATTTCATAACATAATACATTAAGCAGGTGCTTCTTGGTACTTTGTGAAAAAACTTATTGGTTATTTGGTATATGACTAGTGAATGAAAGTAATATTGGGGCCAGGCGCGGTGGCTCAAGCCTGTAATCCCAGCACTTTGGGAGGCTGAGACGGGCGGATCATGAGGTCAGGTGATCAAGACCATCCTGGCTAACACGGTGAAACCCTGTCTCTACTAAAAATACAAAAAATGAGCCGGGCGAGGTGGCGGGCGCCTGTAGTCCCAGCTACTCAGGAGGCTGAGGCAGGAGAATGGCATAAACCCGGGAGGCGGAGCTTGCAGTGAGCTGAGATCCGGCCACTGCACTCCAGCCTGGGCGGCAGAGCAAGACTCCGTCTCAAAAAAAAAAAAAAAAAAAAAGAAGAAAGTAATATTGAAAGAAACTACATGTCTGGTTTTAAATGGAAAGGTTTTAGTAGATTTTCTGTATTCTCCTGAATATTTTAATACTTGGATGGGTTTACAAATTACTATATGGTAGTATTTAAAATTATACTGACTTTGACCAGTGTTATGGGACAAGGGGATGGTGGTTTGCTTTTAGGCAGATGGATAGAATATTAATTAGGTGGGGGCCAGCACATGGCATGACTAAAGGAGGACATAACTTGGGTGCAGTGGCTCACGCCTGTAATCCCAACATTTTGGAAGGTCAAGGCAAGCAGATCGCTTGAGCCCAGTTTGAGCCCAGCCCGGGCAACACAGCGAAATTTCATCTCAATAAGAAATACAAAAGTCTGGGCGCGGTGGCTCACGCCTGTAATCGCAGCACTTTGGGAGGCCAAGGCGGGTGGATCACCTGAGGTCAGGAGTTCGAGACCAGCCCGACCAACGTGGAGAAACCCTGACTTTACTAAAAATACAAAATTAGCCAGGGATGGTGGCGCATGCCTGTAATCCCAGCTACTCGGGAGGCTGAGGCAGGAGAATCGCTTGAATCCGGGAGGCGGAGGTTGTAGTGAGCCAAGATCATGCCATTGCACTCCAGCCTAGGCAATGAGCGAAACTCCGTCTCAAAAAAGAAAAAGAAAAAGAAAAAGAAATGCAAAAATTAGCCAGATGTGGTGGCACATTCCTATAGTCCCAGCTACTTGGGAGGCTGAGGTGGGAGAATCACCTGAACCCAGGGAGTCAGAGCCTGCAGTGAGCCATGATCACACCCACTGCACTCCAGCCTGGGTGACAGAGTGGGACCTTGTCTCAAAAGAAAGAAAAAAAAATTAGCATCACACTAGCTCTGAAACACCAAAGAATTTATCAGTGTATTTAATGTTACCTCTTAGTTTTTGGCCTTAAATGTTTCTCGTGTTTTAAATGTTTGTACTGTAATGTTTGGTTTTGTATTTTGTAGAATTGCCATGAACTTGAAAAGATGGACCTGGAAGAGTGTGTTCAGGTAAGATTATAGATTTTAATTCAGAAGTATATTAGACACTTAGGTAATACACAACATCAGAATGTCCAATTGCCTACCCTAATGTAGGATACTGTAGTGCCTGACAGCATTGCAGATTCTCCATTAAATAAGGTATCTTCCAGGCAGAGGTGCTCATGGTACGTGTTACAGAACTGTGGAAATATATGTCATCAGTCAGGTTGCCATTAGAGAGAAAGGAGGCCCAAGCATTCAGGCCATAAAGCTGTTAAAAATATTTCCTTAGGCCGGGCGCGGTGGCTCAAGCCTGTAATCCTAGCACTTTGGGAGGCCGAGACGGGCGGATCACAAGGTCAGGAGATCGAGACCATCCTGGCTAACCACGGTGAAACCCGTCTCTACTAAAAAGTACAAAAAACTAGCCGGGCGAGGTGGCGAGTGCCTGTAGTCCCAGCTACTCGGGAGGCTGAGCCAGAGAATGGCGTAAACCCGGAGGCGGAGCTTGCAGTGAGCAGAGATCCGGGCCACTGCACTCCAGGCAGGTGACAGAGCGAGACTCCCTCTCAAAAAAAAAAAAAAAAAAAAAATTTCCTTAGACCTGTAGAGTTATGACACTAGGAATAATAAAGCCCCATCACATTGATCTATATAACACTGCTTTCTTTTTTTTTCTTTTTGGGGAGTCTGGCTCTGTCGCCCAGGCTGGAGTGCAGTGGCCGGATCTCAGCTCACTGCAAGCCCCGCCTCCCAGGTTCACGCCATTCTCCTGCCTCAGCCTCCTGAGTAGCTGGGAGTACAGGCGCCTGCCACCTCGCCCGGCTAATTTTTTTTTTTTTTTTTAGTAGAGACGGGGTTTCACCATGTTAGCCAGGATATCTCGATCTCCTGACCTCGTGATCCGCCGTCTCGGCCTCCCAAAGTGCTGGGATTACAGGCTTGAGCCCACCGCGCCGGCCAGCACTGCCTTTCTTTAGCTTTGCTGTATCCTAGATCCCTGGCATCATTAGCCCTAGAGACCTAACTCTGCATGGAACTCTGCCTTTAAGCCAAACTGATCTCCTGATTAACAGTTTCTATTTTTAATTATTATTATTTTTTTTTGAGATGAAGTTTCACTCTTGTTGCCCAGGCTGGAGTGCAATGGCACGATCTCAGCTCAGTGCAATCTCCACCTCCCAGTTCAAGCAATTCTTCTGCCTCAGCCTCCCAAGTAGCTGGAGTTACAGGCATGTGCCACCACGCCCGGCTAATTTTTTGTATTCTTAGTAGAGGCAGATTTGACTATGTTGGCCAGACTGGTTTCGAACTCCCTGACTCAGGTGATCCACTTGCCTCGGCCTCCCAGAGTGCTGGGGATTTACAGGCGTGAGCCCATTAACACAATTTTAAGAACTTTGAGATTATTACTTGCCAAGGAAAACTTCCAAGATGGGACTCTACAAAAGAAAGAGCAATTAATTTGTAATGGTAAAAATAAAGGGAGGATATGTCAGTAACCGTAAAAGCCACTTTCTTTTTTTTTTTTTTTTTTTGAGACGGAAGTCTCGCTCTGTCACCCCAGCTAGAGTGCAGTGGCGCTATCTCAGCTCACTGCCAGCTCCGCCTCCTGGGTTCATGCCGCTCTCCTGCCTCAGCCTCGCGGAGTAGCTGGGACTACAGGCACCTCACCACCACCCGGCTAATTTTTCGCATTTTTAGTAGAGACAGGTTTCACCATGTTAGCCAGGATGGTTCTCGATCTCCTGACCTCGTGATCCGCCTGCCTCGGCCTGTCCAAAGTGTGGGGATTACAGGCGTGCCACCATGCCCGGCCGTAAAAGCCACTTTCTAAAAATTACATGTTTTATAGGCACTGCTTAACAGCTATTAGTTCTTACTAAACTAAAACTTGTTCAGATCCGTTTATCTTATACATGCCTGAGTGTCCTCTATGTCCTTCCAGTGTTATTCCTTCTGAACGGACATGCCTGCCTGCTTGCCCACCCCCTTTCTCTACCATTTTTTAGCCCCTGTGAAGCTATGTGTACTAGAAAATAATAAACTCAGAGTTGGAGAAGAATTTGAAAAGAAGTGCTGATTTACTTTCAGTCCTAACATAACCATGAAAACTGTTCTTCCTACCTGAATGTTCATAGTTAACCCAGATTCCAGCAGTGCCTGGCTGCCACCCTTGGGAAAATAACCCAAGTTATCAATACTGAGTAGTGGCATGCTTTATTAAAAATTTTAGAATGTTCCAACATTAATTTTTTTCATAGAGCACTATCTTCTGATTCCTTACTCTGATGATTCTAAGGAGATAGAACAAAGTCCAGCAAGTAGACGTTCTGGGGGACAGATTTTTTTAGAGACAGGGTCTTGCTGTTATCGCTCAGACTGTTTTTTTTCTTGCTGTTATCGTTCAGACTGTTTTGTTTTGTTTTGTTTTGTTTTGTTTTTTGCAGTGTGGGGTGGGGAGGACAGAGTCTTACTCTGTCACCCAGGCTGGAGTGCAGTGGCTCAGTCTTGGCTCACTGCAACTTCCATTTTCCAGGTTCAAGCAATTCTCCTGCCTCAGCCTCCCAAGTAGCTAGGATTATAGGTGCCCGCCACCATGCCCAGCTAGTTTTTGTATTTTAGTAGAGACAGGGTTTCAACATGTTGTCCAGGCTGGTCTCAAACTCCTGACCTCGGGTGATCCACCGGCCTCAGCCTCGCAAAGTGCTGAGATTGATTATATGCGTGAACTACCATGTCTGGCCCTGCTCAGACTGGTCTTGAACTTTTAACCTCAAGCAGTCCTCCTGCCTCAGCCTCCCTAGCAGGTGGGACTATAGGCACAAGCCACCACAACTAGCTACCAAGGGGACAGATTTTGATTCATTTAAAAAATAAAACAGATTTTGAATAGAGCTGTCTAAAGATGAAGACTAGAGATGACTAGATGTGTTCAAATGTAGCCTGAATGGATTCTCATAGAACAGGTTCAGGTAGCCGATGCGATTTAAACCGAAAGATTGTGTTATTTGATGATTGATTATTAAAATGTCTGGACTAGAAATGTAGTCAAGAATGAGGTATGGGGGCTGGGCATGGTGGGTCACTCCTGTAATCCCAGCACGTTGGGAGGCCTAGGCGGGTGTATTACCTGAGGCCAGGAGTTCGAGACCAGCCTGGCCAACGTGGCAAACCCCCATCTCTACTAAAAATATGCCGGGCACGGTAGCTCACGCCTGTAGTCCTAGCACTTTGGGAGACCAACGTAGGTGAATCAGCTGAAGTCAGGAGTTCGAGATCAGCCTGGCCAACATGGTGAAACTCCGTCTCTACTAAAAATTCAAAAATTAGCTGGGCATGGTAGCAGATGCCTGTAATCCCAGCTACTTGGGAGGCTGAGGCAGGAGAATCGCTTGAACCCAGGAGGCGGAGGTTGCAGTAAGCCGAGCTTGTGCCACCACACTCCAGCCTGGACAACAGAGCGAGACTCCATCTCAAAAAATTTAAAAAATCTAGCCTGTGATCTCAGCCACTCGGGAGTTGGATCTCAGCCACTCGGAGAGACTGAGGACGAGAATCACTTCGAACCCGGGAGGTGGGAGGTCTGGCAGTGAGCTGAGATCCATGCCATTGTAACCTCCAGCCTGGGCGACCAGGAGGACTGTCTCAAAAAAAAAAAAACAAAAAAAAAAAGAGGTAGGGGCCTGCTGTTACAGTGGCTCACACCTGTGATCCTCACACTTTTGTGAGGCACCGCGGATGCGAGGATGCTTGAGCCAAAAGGTGAAGGACCAGTCTGGGTAAATAACAAGACACCTGTTTCTGCACCAAGAAAAAGTTTTAAATGTCTTGGGCATGGTGGTGTGCACCTGTAGTTCCCAGCCATTCAGGGAGGCTGGAAAGCCGGACAGATAGCCTGAGCTGGGAGTTGAGGCTGC